AACTTCAACTTGAACTTGCATACGAGCAATTGATGGTCTGTTCCACAGTCGATCCCTGACCTTGTTCTGACTGATGGTATTGAGGTTTTCCATCATCTCTTTCCACAGATGTAATCGATTTGATTCCTATGTATTCCATCTGGCAAGGTCCACGTGTATAGTTGCTGTTTATGTTGTTGAGAAAAGGTTTTTGCAATGAAGAAGTCATTGGTCTTGCAAAATTCTATCGTGATCTCTGGCATTGTTTCTATCACCAGGACCATGTTTTCTAACTACTGTTCCTTCTTCGTTTCTGACTTTTGCATTCCAGTCGCCAGTAATTATCCATCCGTCTTGATTGTATGATTGATCAATTTCAGACTGCAGAAGTTGGTAAAAATCTTCGATTTCTTCATCTTTGCTCTTGGCGGTTGGTGTATAAATTTGAGTAATAGTCACATTAACTGGTCTTCGTTGTAGGCGTATGGATATTATCCTATCTCTGACAGCGTTGTACTTTAGGATAGATGTTGAAATGTTCTTTTTGACAATGAATGAAATGCCATTCCTCTTCAATTTGTCATTCCTGGCATAATAGACCCTGTGATTGTCTGATTCAGAATGGCCAATACCAGTCCATTTCAGCTTACTAATGCCTAGGATATTGATCTTTATGTGTTCTATTTTACTTTTGATGGCTTCGAATTTTCCTAGATTCATACTTCATACATTCCACGTTCCAATTATTAATGGATGTTTGCAGCTGTTTCTTCTCATTTTGAGTCATGCCACATCAGCAAATGAAGGTCCCGAAAGCTTGACTCTATCCATGTCATTAAGGTCAACTCTACTTTGAGGAGGCAGCTGTTTCCCAGTTGTCTTTCAAGTGCCTTCCAACCTGAGGGGCTCATCTTCTGACACTATATCAGTGTTCAACTGCTATTCATAAGGTTTTCACTGGTTAGTTCTTTTCAGAAGTAGACTGCCAGGACCTTCTTCCTAGTCTGTCTTAGTCTGGAAGCTCAGCTGAAACCTGTCTACCAAGGGTGACCTTGCTGGTATTTGAAATACTGGTGGCATAGCTTTTGGTATCACAGCAACACGCAGGCCACCACAGTATGACAAACTGACAGACGTGGTGGAAATGATTGGGTGGGACTATGCATATGAGGTGTATGGAACCCTAACAGGGATTGGTCAGTTTTTCCATTCCACTAGGCTTAAGGGGAGGCATGGAAAGATGGAGGAGGAGCTATAACAGGGAAGACAGGGAGAGCTGTAACACTGGAAACAGCGGGAAGCAGCAGCAGAGAAACAGTAGTAGCAGAACCAGGAAACAGAGAGGGAGGGAGGGAGGAAGGGAGTGGGAGAGGCAGAGAGAGACAGAGTGCGCCTACAAGCAAAAGCGAGCTGTAACACTGAAGACAGCAAGAAGCGGCAGCAGAGAAATGGCAACAGCAGAGGCAGGAGAGGGCACGGAAAGCTGAGTGCCTTGAGGCAGGAGGCTTTCTGGCGGATAAGGGTGCCTCCGGGCTTTGTAGCTAGGTTTGCCAACCCACGAAGCTAGAGCTGAGCACCTGTAGGCCAAGGCTTACTGGGGGAGTGGGGTGTCAAGGGTCACTTACTGGTGGAGCTAAAAGAGCTTCGTAACACTTGCCTTAGCAGGGCAGAAGCCAGGCCGAGAGGCTGAGGGGTCAGAGAGTTGTGTCTGCATGCATGGCTGAAAAGAGGCATTCCTGATGGAAGAACTGTATCTTGAGCATCCCTGAACCTAAGTTGTAACCTGTTACTTCCCTAATAAACGCCATAACTATGAGTATTGTCTGTGAGTTCTGTGTGGCCATTGTGGTTGGTGTCAGAATTGGTAAAGATGGTGGACAGAGGAGCATGTCTGACCTCTGCCTCACAGGAATCAGCCTTAGGCTGTTGATCTTGAGTCTCCTTTCCCCTTGTGAAGTTAGAGGAGGTCAGACGCCACCGCCACACCATTTTATACCTTGCATTGAGTTTTTAATTTCAGTGAGTATATTTTTTATTTCTAAGAATTATCTTTGCTTTTTGAAAACTGCTTGACTACAGAGTTTATATTTTGTATCCATCCAAGTTTCTTTGAATTTCTTTAAGTTTTTAAATATAGTTATTTTAAAGTTTATAGCTAAAAATTCTAACATCTGAAGTGTTGGTGTGCTTTTTTTCTGCTGCCTGTGTTTTGGCTGCTTCTCACTCATGGTACAATGTGTATTTGTGTTTTATAATTTGTTTTAACTTTGACTTCCTCAGTTTACTTAGAACTTTATATGTGAGAATTCTTTGAGGCCTGGCTTGAAGTTGAGTTTCTCCAGACATAGGTCTTTTTGCTCATACTGGTTGCCTGGGAGCAGTGCCACCTAAGACACACTTTATTCTCCTGAGGTTTTCCGTACTCCACAAATAACGTCATTTTAGACTGAAACCTAAAGAAGACACTCGTATTTAAAATCATCAGAAGAGATTTCCTTTTTCTACTATACTTGGTGCCAAGGTACCAAGATCCAGACAGGTATATTTCATTGCTTCTTATTGTGTATGGAAGTTTTTCCTTAAAAACTGTTAATTATGTGATGATTGCACAACATGGTGAATGTAATTAATGTCACTGGGTTGTACACTTATAAATGGTTAAAAGGGGAAATTTTTTTGTTACATATATTTTACCACAATAGAAAATTTTTTAAAAGCAAAAACAGTAAAATTCTTAATTATGGATTTTCAAACTTACCCAGGAGTTGTTTATACTATGATGAAGCCTCCCATCCCCCAGCTTCATTGATTGACACCGTTTTGCCGTTCTTATTCCTCCTTGCTTGTTTATTGTAATTGATCTTTTTTTAAACTGGAGCATTTTTTAAAACATCAGACATATAATTTCACCTATAATTTGAGTCACATCTCTAAAATAAGGGACTTTTTGTGCTTTTAAGATTTCTACAATACTATTATCCTACCCCCAAATTAACAGTATTCCTCAGTATTTTCACTGGACTCCAGCCAAAGACCACTAGGAACACACACGCAGTTAAACAAGTCTGATTACTCATTACATTGAGGCAAACACACACCATGGGGAACCATGGAGGTCTCAGTAAGAGGGTGTTAGAAAAGACTTACTAAAGGATGTGGGCTTGTGTGAGGTGATTTTGGGGAGTGTTTAAGGAAGCGGGGCTTTGCTTTGCATTGGATGTTATCAGGAAGTGAGGGTAATTCTATGATTATCTTAATAAGTTTACCTAGAAGGAGGAAGAACTAAACAAAAGCTAAAGTTGTAATTGGAAAGGAAGCAGCTGTCAGGACAGGTAGATATTTGTTCATTTATGTGGCTTGGATCATGTTTATGTTTTGTCTATGTTTAGGACATGAGTATGGAGTGGTCTTGTTTTTGTCTTAATACATCATTGACACAGAGTGATTGGTCTGCAAAATTGTTTATATTCAACAGGAAAATATCAAGATGTGGCTGTGAGTGCCAGGCCAGCTCAGCACAACCCCTAGGCCTAGCTGGTACCAGGCCACCTCCTGGATATCAGGGGCTGCTTTCTCTTTCCCAATATCATCTAATACTCAGTCTGTGCTCAACTAACCCCAAATGTCTCAAAATGTGTTTTTAAAGACAGTTTTTTCAAATCAAGATCTAAGGTCCACACATTCCATTGGATTAATAGGTCTCTTAAGTCTCTTAATCTGTTCCCCTCTTCCCTCCAAACTGGGTTTGGTGGATTGACTCTTTATTACATCCTTTAACAAATCCCTTTGTCGCCCTCATCCCTATTTTCTTTAAACTGCTCATTAGTTTAGAAGATATATCAGATTTTTTTTTGCAAAAATATTTTATAGTTGGGGCTGTGTGTTTAATGTTATGTCACATCACAACTCACATGATGTCCCAATGTATATTTTGTGATGTTAAGATTCATCAGTTGATTCAGGTATTAGGTTGTTCTTTCCTTAATAAAGTTTCTCAACATATTTACATGGTCTCAAAGTTTCCACTATAAATTCCTTATTAATTACAGATGGAAAAAAATGGTAACATATGAAGGAACCTGTTGCACACCACCTTAACCAAGTGATCAAAGTTATCAGCAGTAATGAGACAAGCTGACGTCATGTGCCTCCTGATGTGATGCACTGATAAAGACACGTGTCACTTATGTAATACTGCTCCCTAAAATGACTTTAATCTAATCGTGAGAAGACATCAGGCAAACCGAAAGTGAGGTACAGTCTGTAAAACATTTGGCCTGGACTCTTTATATCTTGAAAAATAAAGGCTGAGGAAATGTTGCAGATTAAAGAAAGATACTTTGAGTGCCTGATCCTGGATGGAAAATGCAAAAAAAGTGATTCCCATAAAGAGCATTGTTGGGGAAGTTTGCATGTGGACTATATGTTAGATAATAGCATTAAATCAGAGTTAAATATTTCTAACTTTGGTCACTGTACCATGGGTTAGAGAATGTCCAAGTTCCTATGGTTCTCTGAAGTATGTAGGAAAAAAGGATCATGATGTCTGCAACTTCCTCTCACATGATTCAGCCAAGAATAATGATATCTATATATACACAGAGGGAGAAAACAAATGTGACAGGACTTTTGTAACTGGTGCAGAATCTGTGTGAAAAGTATTATATATGGGAGTTCGTTATTGCTTCTGAGTTGTTATCCTCTAGACCTTTTCAGTAGTTCAGTGTAGTAAAATGTTAAAAAGAAAAATAATAAGTGCATACTGTATTTCTAATTCAAGGGCATACTATGTTCTTGGATGGGGAGACTAAAAATCTTAACAGTGAACGATAGTGCGTGTGTATTGTTATTATTGTTACTCTTAAACTAGTAAAACGAAGATTCTGGGCCTGTGAGTATTGAATATTTGACAGGCCTAGAGTTGGAATCAACTCAACGGCAACAGGTTTAAACACTCATGGCTCCTTTCTTCTCTAGGTCAGGACCCTGTCTGGTCAGGAGGAGACGACACAGGACAAAGAATGGCTACAGGATTGCTGACAACCTGGTCACAGGTGTGTAGAAATTATTCGGTTTCCAAGAGTATATTGCTGTTCTCAAGGGACACATTTCTTTCCATTGACCCGGAGCTTCACTGCCCAACTTGGACTGGTCTTATGCTTCCAAAGTTCCCTGGGCCTCTTGGGATGGGAGAAGGAATGCCTAGGAAAAGCTTTCGTTACCACAACATTTGTTAATATTTTTCAGCTATTCCTCCAGGTTGGCCATGGGTTCTCTATTCTGCTGGGTGAAAGAAAAGAAAGATTTTCACTAGAAAAATCCTTCATTCATTTCCCAAGTATTTCTCTCATTCCTGCAGTATGCCCAGTCTGTACTGGATTTTGAATAAGACTGGAAGAAAAAAACTGTTAAAGCCATAAGACTGGATGAGATGGACCAGGGAATGGGAGTGAAAGAAAATTCTCAGGAGTGAGCCTTAGGACAGACAATGAGAAGACTCGGAAGCGTGTAGGAACTTCCTATGCCCTGGGTCTCCTTCCACAGTCCTGTCAAACTCACCCACCATCCTCCTGGTACATTGTTGGAGATAATCATTGGCTGAGCCAGAATGTGTGTGTGATGTTTTAGAACTCGTTGACCTTTGAGGAAGTGGCAGTGGAGTTCTCCCAGGAGGAGTGGGCATTGCTGAACCCTGCTCAGAAAAACCTGTACAGAGATGTAATGCTGGAGAACTTTAGGAACCTAGCCTCACTGGGTAAGGCTGGCCTCATTTGTTTATTTACCATTTATACATCAGGATCTGTGAAAAGAATGGCAGTATAGTGGTAAACGCAGAATGGTTGGAGGAGAGAGGAATTCTCTAAGGTACCTCTGCAGGTGAGCCCCCAGGCAGAAAAGGTGTCATTGTGTGGAGCTGCCCTGGCCAGTGAGGGGTGGTACATTTGGGTATGTCAATGGGTGCAGGAAATGAAGGCTGAGGGGTTTGTGTGAGCTTTCCCTCCTCTTTCACCATCTGCCCATTCATTCATACATTCCTTTGGTCTCAGAGAAAGAACTGTTTTATTAATTTAAATTTAACATTTCCATTAATGCTCTTTGTTCAGTTCTGCCTACTTTGCCTTCCAGATAATACCCTCTCTTATTTTCTCAAACTCTCAGACCTTTCAAAGTAAAATGCCTCCCATTTCCAATTCTTTTTCCTATCATTGGCATCTCTTCCGAGAGCCAAACTCCTAAAATTATTTCCTTGGTCACTGGTTGAATCTTCTCTTTCACATTTTCTTCCTGTATTTAGTGTTAGTAATTGAAAACAAATCCAGAGGGGCTGCCTTCTTTTCTCTTTCATCCCTGTTTTTTCTTCCAATAATTATAAAAATTTTCCCTATTCAATTTCAGACTGGGAAACTCAACTTAAATCAAAAGATGCAATGGCTATGCAGAATGTTCCTGGGAAAAAGACATCTAATGGCATAAAAATGGTAAGGTTACTAGGAATGATTCCTGGTCTGTACAGTAGGAGAAATCTGAGAATTTAATGAGTTAAAACAACAGCACTTGAACCAGGGAAGACAGTTGAGGCAAGTGGCATTCACTCACCAGAAAACAGTGTTTCAGGAGAGAGTATATGAATTTCACGAAACTAGAGGCATTTCTAAACCTAGCTCAACACTTGTTGTCTCACAGAGAATATCCATAAATAAACATTTATGAAAATATGATTCAAATATTAAGTTTTTTATACATAATTAACTCATTCTTCAGTCATTATTGGAAAATCTTTGTATTTAAGAGGCTTTTTGATGGGAGTGACTAGGATGGCACCTTGGACAGAGCATTCCGCTTACTCAGCTTCAAAGAAGTAATAAGAGAAAAACCATGCGCAAATGGTAAAAATATTAATCATAATAATTTGCTTCCTATGCAAGGCAGAATCCACACAGAGAATTCCTTTCAGTGTAATAAAAATGAGAAAGCCTTGTCACCACTTATTCCTTATTCAACAGGCACCAGCTCAACCTGGCAAGAAACTCTTGGAATGTAATCATTTTATAAAATTCATCAGAAAGAACTTTCACTTTATTGGCAAAACATACTCCAAGGGAGAAAAATGCTACAAATATAAAGAATGTGGGAAAGTCTTCAGCCATCCCACAACTCTTAGGAGTCATGTGAGTACTCACACTGGAATGAAAACTCTTGAATATAATGATTGTAGAAAGGCCATCAATCAAGAGTCATCCCTTAGGAAACACTTAAGAACACTCACAGGAGAGACACTGTATGAGTGTAGCCAGTGTGGTATGTCCTTCAGCCTACAGTCTTCCTTTATGGTACATGAGCTAATATCTGTTGGAGAGAAACTTTCCAAATGCATTGACTACAGAAAAGACTTCAGTGCAAGGTCTTCCCTTAGTGTCAACAAAAAAATACATACTGTGGAGGAAAGCTTGGAATGTAATGAACATGGGAAAGCTTTCACTAGCCCCTTGTCCCTTCAGGAATGTATGAGAACTCACACTGGAGAGAAACCCTATGAATGCAGTGACTGTGGGAAAACCTTCATTTTTCAATCTTCGCTTAAGAAACACTTGAGATCTCACACTGGAGAGAAACCTTACGAGTGTAATCATTGTGGAAAATCCTTCAGCCAGAGCTCTCATCTGAATGTGCACAAAAGAACTCACACTGGAGAGAAACCTTATGACTGTAAGGAATGTGGGAAAGCTTTTACTGTTCCTTCATCCCTTCAGAAGCACATGAGAACACACACTGGAGAGAAACCCTATGAATGCAGTCACTGTGGGAAAGCCTTCATTGATCAATCATCCCTTAAGAAACATACACGCTCTCATACTGGAGAGAAACCTTACAAGTGTAATCAATGTGGAAAATCCTTCAGCACAGGCTCTTATCTCATTGTGCACAAAAGAACTCACTCTGGAGAGAAAACCTATGAGTGTAAAGAATGTGGGAAGGCCTTTAGGAATTCCTCTTGCCTAAGGGTACATGTGAGAACTCACACTGGAGAGAAGCCCTATAAATGTATTCAGTGTGGAAAAGCCTTCAGCACAAGCACTAACCTTATAATGCATAAGCGAATACATGCTGGGTAGAAAAATCTATGAATGAAATGACTACAAGAGAGCCTTAAGTGATTCTTCCCACCTTATTTGTCATTTTAGAACTCACAGAACTTACTCTGGAGAGAAACCCTATTGTAACCAATGTGGAAAAGCCTTCAGGCACAACTCTTCACTTATACTGGGCAAACCTTATAAATGTTATGGTTCTATGATTGTTTTTATAAGTGAGTGTTTCATCCTTAAAGGGCCACAAGTCATTAATTTATAAGTGTTAAAGGTTATATATATCTTTCTAAGTACCCTTTGACCTGCATCACAAAAGTTTTGATATGTAGTATTTTCATTACAACTTAATACTAAGTATTATTTCAGTCTCATCAAGATATCTTGGACCATAAGTTATTTAAAAGCATGTTTTTTAATATGCAGACCCTATGCATATTTTAGTTACCTTTCGTAGATTTGTAACATAATTGCATTGTGGACAGAGTGCATGGTCTTCGTGATATAGATTCTATATGATACGGACTCAAACAGAAAAATGGTTTGAGACTTGCTGCATGGCCTGGTTTGGCAAATAAAACTAGTTGCTTTACAATATCCATCCTTCCTTTCTTCATTAAAGTAATAAACCACAATGTTGTTCAAGTTGCCAGTGTGGACAATTTTTTAAAGACTCACAGTCCAGGTTCCCTTGAGTGCATTCCTATCACCAGTACTTATCATTGCATCTTGAGAGCATGTTTGATCAATTTTAAACTGCAGAAGTTGATAAAACTGTTCAATTTCCTCATCTTTGGCCTTAGTGGTGGGTGCATAAATTTGAATAATAATCGTATTAACTTGTCTTCCTTGTAGGCATATGGATATTTTCCTATCACTGACAGCATTGTACTTCAGGATACATCTTGAAATGTCCTTTTTGATGATGAATGTGACACCGTGCCTTTTCAATTTATCATTCCTGGCATAACAGACCATATGATTGTCTGATTCAAAATGGCCAAATCCAGTCCATTTCAGCTCACTGATGCCTAGGATATCAATGTTTATGTGTTCCATTTCATTTTTGACAATTTCCAATGTTATAGATTCATACTTCATATGCTCCAGGTTCCGATTATTAATGGATGTTTGCAGCAGTTTCTTCTCATTTTGAGTCATACTACATCAGCAAATGAAGGTCCCAAAAGTTTGACTCCATCCACACCATTAAGATCAACTGTACTTTGAGGAGGTAGCTCTTCCTCAGTCATATTTTGAGTGCCTTCCAACCTGAGGGGCTCATCTTCTGGCACTATATCAGACAGTGTTCCGATGCTATTCATAAGTTTTTCACTGGCTAATTTTTTCTGAAGCAGACTGCCAGATGCATACTAGAGAAGTTAATTCATTACATACTATGGATGCCTTAAGAAATTAGGGCTTAATTCTCTCTCGAAAGCTGTTTTAAAGGAACCATTAATAACTATACAAAATCACTTAACTAAGAAGTTAAAAATTGAATAATAAGTAGTAATTGATTAATCCAAAAGGAAGCAAGAGAACAGAAAGAATACATGGAAGAAAATCATAAATAGCAAGATGATAGATTTAAACCCAAGCCTACCAAGAATTACATTAACTATAATGGACTAAAATTAAAACACAAGAATATCAATAGATTGATTTGAAAAACAAAACTATTATATGCTGTTTACCAGAGGCATGTTTTAAACATTAGGTCATATTTAAAAAAATGGAAAAAGATATACTATGAAACACTATTCTTAAGAAATCTGGTCTCAATATTAACAGACTTCAAGTTAAACGGAACATGTCATGATAAAAGAATGATGTCAGTAAGTCCTGCAGCCATCTTGAAACTAGGTATGTGCTGGTGTAAAATAGAAAGCCTGAGAGGTTTGGGGTTTATAATATCTTTGTTGAAGCCTTGTATTAGCCAATCCTAGAACTGCCCTACTTTTTAAGCCAGACTTTCTGCCCACTTTGGAGGACTCAGTTTTGTCAACCAACATTTTTGCTCTAAATATGCTCATCAAAATAATCCTCAGTTGAGTCAAGCAAAAGGATCTTCCTTCAAGGAATTAATTTAAACAGGCTTTACCAGTTAATACACCTGATTTTTTTTTTTTTCACTTGAAGGAATTTTTTCTCCTCATCACATAAGAACTTGGGCTTGGGCATTATTCAGTTCTGTCTGCAGTGATAAAAATGACTATACTGACACTTCCTAAAGTGCAATTCATGTGGAACATTTGTCCTTGAATCATGAGAAACAGTGCTCACCCAAACCCATGAAAACATCTCAATATGTGGTAAGTACTTAAATAGTGAAGCCCATGAAGAGAGAAAATTAAAACACCCAGGCAACTCTGTTCTGGACTAAACCCGCCCATTGCCATTGACTTGATTCCGACTCATAGCGACCCTGTAGGATAGAGTTGAACTGCCCCGTAGGGTTTTCAAGGCTGTAATCTTTACTGAAGCAGACTGCCAAATCTTTCTCCCACAGAGCAGCTGGTGGGTTTGAACCACTGACCTTTTGGCTAGCAACTGCGTACTTTAACCACTGTGCCACCAGGGATCCTTCTGGACTAAATCACAAGTTACCAAAATACTGCCACAGGTTCCAACCTTCAATAGTAACAGCCTTCTAAGAAGCACATGCATTCTGTTTGAGACAGATCCTCATTTCTGCCATCCAAGTAATGACAGCCACCAATGATTTGTCTGAGCACTGAAAGTTAAACACATACTTTTTTTTCCTCAGTACAGGATTGACAGATTAAGTAAGACATCTATGTAAATAATAATTATACTGACATTCATAGCATTATTTGGATTCACACTAGCAGTATCCCAAAAATACTATAAAGCAACATAAATTAAGACAGTGTGGTATTGATGCAAGGACAGACAAATGAACCAAGGGAAAAAACTGAGATTTCATACAGGGGAGAAGCATGGTCTGTTTGGTAAATTGTCCTGATTAACTGGATGGAGATACACACACACGAGCCTTGATCCCACCTCACATCGTACAGAAAATTATTTAAATGGATCACAGACTTAGATATAAAAAGTAGAACTGTAGAGTCTAGAACAAAACAAGAGAATATCTTCATTATCTTGGTCTGTGCAAACATTTCTTAAATAAGACTCAAATCTTCAGTTGAATTTTATGCCCTTTAAAGATTGTAAAGCACTGTTCTAAATACAAGCCATAATGCATCTGACTTTTCTGTGAGGATTTCTAGGAGCTATCTAGCCCTGGCTGAGTTCCCAGACCCAGAGGCAGATTAACAAGTAAACACAGTATGCACCAGTTTACAGCAAGCAAGTTTCACACAGACTTAATTGTGCTTACTAATCTGTAGTGCACGATTTCACCTGGTTTTGTGAAATTGTGCACTACAGATGAGTAAACACAAGGCTGTGCGTACCTTGCTTACTGGTTAATCCGTCCCTGCCCAGACCTCCTACTTTCCTCCAATAGCTGACACTAGAGTAAGCACAATATACTAGGTGACAATGTTATTATTAGCTCTGTTTATTTCTTTTCCTTTTTTTGTTTGTCTTTGGTGGCTTAAAACAGTACAGATTTATTAATTGTCTGGTGTTGGTTTCACCAGACAAAATCAAGGTATCAGCAGACTGCATTTCTTTCTGGAAGCTCTTGAGGAAAATCTGTTTCCTGCTCATTCTCATTGTTGGCAGGATTCGTTTCTTTGCAGTTGTAGATTCGTAGTCTCCATTTTCTCTAGATTTATTTCTTGATTGCAGCTGCAAGTTCAGCCCATCTACCCACTACAGCCTCTTTCCTCTCCCAATTCATCACAATTGCCAAGATTCTATGATTCATTTGGCAATGACTCTAACCCCACTTTCTGAATGAGCATGGGAGGTAGTCCTGAAAACAAATTCGAATATTTCATTCTCCTAGCTACTGTGGGCAGGTGAGTCAATTAAATTCATGAAATTGTTAAAGGAACAATCACTGTCTTCTGCAGCCTTCTTCATCCTGGGAAGAAGGCACCCTGGAGATTCCAGGGCACACTATGAGAAGAGAGAGCCTGCCTAGGGGAAAAGCCAATGCAGAAGAATGCACAGCCAAGATACAGAGACAGACTTCATCTAGATGACCTCTTTAGCCCTAGGATCCAGCCATGCCTGAAGCAAAACCAAACCAAACCGGCTGCTGTCGAGTCAATTATGACTCATAGCAACCCCATAGGGTTTCCAAGGTTGTGAATCTCCACGGAAGCAGACTGCCCCCTCTTTCTCCTGCGGAGTCACTCGTGGTTTCGTCCTGCGGAGTCACTCGTGGTTTCGAACCGCTGACCTTTCAATTAGCAGTCAGTTGCTTTAACCACTTCACCACCAGGGCTCCTTATACCTAAGGTCTTCTCAGTAATCAAACCAATGAATTCCTATTGTAGCTTAAAAAATTGAAAAGAGTGAAAAGACAAGCCATGGACCATGAGAAGTTATTTGCAATATGTATATATGTAAAATATGTATTGTATTTTATGTATATATAATATGCAATTGCAATTATCAAGAGAGGTCCACAAGACCATCTTCACTTCTGAAACCAGGCACAAGTTCAGGGGGTCTTCAATACCACCCTCAGGTTTGGTAATTCACTAGCACAACTCACAGAACTCAGAATATGCTCATGGTTTTACAGTTTATTGCAGAAAAATGATACAGATTAAAATCAGCCACAGGAAGAGATGCATAGGGCAAGGTCCAGGAGACATCAGTGATTAGGCTTCCACTTTTCCTCTTTCAGTGGGGTCATATGGACAGTACCTAGCTCTTCCAGCAAAGATGTGTGGCAACAAGCAGGGAGTATTGCCAACCAGGGAAGTCCAATTGAGCAACGGTGTCCACAGTTTTTATAGGGGGTTGTCCCATATGCCTGCATGGCTGACCTTTAATCTCCAGCCCTTCCAGAGGACAAGCTGATACTACGTGGCCTCAGGTGCCCACCATAAGTCATATTGTTAGCACAGACTAT